TCATCATCGGAACACGAACCTATGAGTGTGGTTATTACTGGTAATGAATCATCCAATACTTTACGTACAACGATAAATGGAGACGAATATACAACAGTTCGTTGGAGTGACATTAATAATGCTTTCAAAGATAGAATCAAAACTCATGTAATTACCAATCTGAAGCATTTACATTTGACATGCCAAACGACTGTTTGATATTTAAATGGATGAAGCCTTGAAGCGACATAATTTTATAAAAGTGAATGTTGTATTAGATGCTGAGTATGCAGTTACAAAAAATGACTAAGAAACACTCGATGTAAAGCATTTCAATACTAAGAAGATGCTGATATAAATAACTACAAGTATAAACGAAAGATATATTGAGAATGTACTCAAGCCTATCAGCACGAGTATGGTAGAATTCCAAGAACAAGATTCAGGGTGTTCTCTTCACGTTATACTACATTTAACAGTTAATATCAGTATATACAATCCTATAAGGGCTGCTTCTTACATTAAGTTGCCAGAGCCTATCAGAAAAATCGAAGGTATGTCTAAATGTGCAGAACTATGATAATGATGAGTGTTTGAAATGGGCTATCCTCTAAGCATTACATTCGATTGTAATGAATCCAAATCGTATTAACACATACTATTGTTACGTCCCGAGACGTAACTATTTCTTCATTTTGATTTCATCAGCAATCAATTGAAAAACGAAATAATGTATAAACAACGAACGGCATTTTTACAAAATACAAACTCAGCGAAATTAAAAGATGAGTAGTCCGAAAATTTGGGGCGCCCGACATTTTGATTTTTTGATTACTCAACACATTAATATGGGCCGAAGAGTCAATATAAAAACAGAAGACTCGACTATTCGGCAGTTGATTCGCGACGCGCGACTACTCAATAACATTAAAATTTGTTAAAGTTCTTACGGGCTGATTCGCGACGCGCGACAGCCGAATAAAGTATAATTCACCTATTGTTATTTTTGAGAAACCATTTCTGTCTTTGAATAAATAAATAATTACTTGAATCGAGTGTTCGTGCATCATTACCGACCGACCTCATATATACTTTATCAAGATAGAGCTAAACAGCCAACTTAACTCGAAATAATAACCCAGGTAAGTTCCTGTCACTATAATAATTACTAATAAATGAATGATCATACATATTCTAAAACTACACGTCACGGCTACGTAGTCGCGACATAACACTATGTATCAACGTGATGAGATGGAGATGGCAGACATATAGTTGTGATCGTTGTCTGCACTATTTTTGAACTAAAGAAAGATTGAAAATACACGATATTTATTGTAAAAATGTGAATATTTGTACAATTTTGCTTCGTGATGAGAAAGACAAATTTTTACAATTTGACAATTTGAAAAATAAATTTCCTGTACCACATGTTGTGTATGCCGGTTTCGAGAGTATATTAAAGCCGGTGTCTAATGATGAACCCATCTATCAACAGCACAAACCGTATAGTGTTAGTTTCTTCATAGTGTGTAGCTATCATGATTCTAATTCACATACATTAACAAACAGAAAACTATCGATAATATTAGTCCAGCTAAGTGGTTCGTACATAATCTCTATGACTTAGCTGTTTATCTGCCCAAGTTATACAAATATCCGCAGCATATGAAAAATTTAACTTTTCATGAGACATTCAGCTTTCTTCATGCTACAGAATACCACATATGTAAAAAGTTCTTCGACACTGAGAAGGATACAAAAGTTGGCAATCATTGTAACTTTACAGGAAAGTATCGAGGACTTGCTCATAACACATGTAACATTGCTTATCAAGAATCAAGAACTATACCCGTATTTTTTCATAATCTAAGTGGCTATGATGCACCGGTATTTATTTTTGAATAGTTTCTCGATATTTCGAATGAGTTCTCTGATCGAGTGAGCGTTCTTCCTCAAACGAAGAAAAAATATATATCTTTTACCAAATATATGGAAGGTAGTGATATTAATCTACAATCTGTTGACTCATTCTGATTTATGGCATCGTCTCTCGAAAAACTGTCATCGTACGTCGTAAAGCATCATAGTCTAGAGCGCCACTTCCAAAAAGACAATAGATACACTATATAGCAGATCGTTATATTGAACAGGAGAGGTGGCTTTTCCTATGATTATATATCATCATTAATGAAACTCGAGAAGATATCTTTTTAACAAAAACAAGACTTTTACAGCAGTCTTTATGATCCGCATATCAGCGACGAGGAGTACGCTCACGCGAAAAAGGTTTGGAGAACTTTCAATATTATCGATCTTCGCAGCTATTCAGACCTATTTTTCAAGACTGATATTCTCTTATTGACTGAAATATTTAGAAACTTAGGGAATAAATATAAAATTGCGTATCGTTTGAATCCTGCTCAATATTATACAACGCCCGGATTAAGTTGGGATGCTATGTTAAAATATCCGTAAAAAAATCAGTCAGTGCTGTAACAGATATGCCGTCACCAACAATACGTACATGGGAACTGATTATGATTCACAAAAAGATGACAAATACCTTATGTATTATGACATAAAAAATCAATCTCTACGGGTGCTGTTTGACTGAATCTTTTACACACGGTGACTTAGAATGGTGCGACATTGACTGAAACTTTTCTTTCGACATTCCTGATGATTCACCCTTTGAATACATACTCGAAGTTGATTTCGAGTATTCGATTGAAGACGCACATAAAGATTTACCATTACGTCCAGAGCACAAGTCTGCTCCAGAATCCAAACAGAAAAAACTCATGACTACTCTGAACGATAGAAAGCGTTATGTGATTCACGAAAGAGCATTGAAGCAAGTAACATAGTATTGGGCTTTGAAATTTGATCAGAGTGCATGATTTATACAGCGATATACGTAAACAGGCGAAAAATGAGTTTGAAAAAATGCTATTTAATCTATTTAATAATGCCTTGGATGGGAAGACTATGGAAAATGAAAAGAAACGCATCCATGTGAAATTGGTGAGCAAGTGAGGGGCGATATGGTGCTGAAGGTCTCATGGTTCAGTCAAATTTTCATAGTAGAGATATATTTAACGATGAGCTAGCAGCGACTTAACTTTTATGAACGGAAATAACAGTGAGAAAACTCATACACATGGGTCTTACTGTCCTTGATTTGTCGAAAACTATCGTTTATCGATTTCACTATGACTAAATTGCTGTTACTGTGGGTAAGCATTGCAAATTATGATACACCGATATGAACAGTCTGGTGTATGAGTGCACTAATACCGACATATATGACGTCATGCTTCGAGATATTCATAAATTTGTTACCTCTGACTTTGACGAACAAAATCAGTTCAATATTCCAGGAGCCAATAAGAAAGTGGTTGGACTGATAAAAAAATCAGAACAACGGTGAAATAAAGTTGAAATTTCTCGAACTCAGGAGTAAAATGTAAAGCGTTAGAGTTCAGAATAGAAATCCAATAAAAAAACGAAAGGTTTAAAGAGTTCCGTATTGAAAGCTATGATCGTATTTGAAGAACATGTCAAGCGTCTTCGTGAGAATATGATTTTAAGAGCAAAAGATCATCAGATCTCACCATCATCAGTTATACAGCGCACAAAGGTAGCGCTCAATGCGCATGATGACAAACAGTTCTTCCTGGTGCCATCGATACACTTGCTTGGGGTAACTACGGTATTTCATTAATGAAAAAGGAGGGGATAGAAGAAATGGGTCTCGGTCGCGCCCCCAGCAGCTCCAGCATTGGTCACCGCCAACGAACCGCCGACGAACTTGGAAAAGGCAGCAGAGAATAAGCTGGGAGAAACGTTTGATCAATCGCATCCACGGACTATGGAGCTCATTCTCATCAAGAAAAAATCGTCGACAATAGCAGCAGCAGCAGCAAACAGTGAGCAGTAACATTCTTCTGATTATATTCGAAGTCAAATTGCATCAAGGAAAATAAAGTTACTAGAAGCTAGATTTGTCACTAAAATTTCAAAGTTTGAAATAACATAATTAAGCTGTACCATAGTTACTGTTATGATGTTGAATAAAACAGCAAAAAAATGACGTTTCCTTATACTTTATTGAAGAGGACCTAGATATCCAAAACAAACTAGTTTCAATCAAATGAAAATGTAATGTCATTCAATTACCATATGTTTGAGTATTTAAAAAATGTGAAAAATTATACGTCACTTATGTGTAGCTTGAATATTTTTTTAGATAGCCATTTGAAATTTTTGACAGCTAAACTTGCAAGCTTAATCTAAATATAGAAAAAAATATAAATGTTGATAAAAATTTTTTCGAATACTACGAGAAGCACGAAATAAATGTTTTATTTTCATCAATTTTAAAAAATAATTTTTTAAAATATAATTTGCATGGAACATTTTAGTGAATTACTTCTATACCGGATCAACCTAAGTTTATTATTAGTTGAATACGTATTTTGACTAAAAAAATATTGAGGACACCTATTTAAAAATTGAAATTTAGAATATCGTGTACGTATAGCTCGCAAATTAAAAATGACATAAAGCGAAATGCAAAATTAGGAATACTTTAAAATTTCACCCACTATTGTAAAATGTACATTGTCATTTTCAGATGTTATGTACAAAATTATTGTATTCTGCAGCAGCTTACTCCTGAATACTACCAATCATTCTTTGAATCATTACTTCATTGAGGCATGTACGAATTCGCGTATTTTCAACTGGCAGCCAAGAACAAATAACAATAACAAGGGCATGATTAGCCCAGCAATGAAATTCAGATATAGGTAGAGAATTGAATAACATTTTCCGTTCTAGTCAAAATATCAGTTTGACTGATGTAGACAAATATTTTCAAAGGATCAAATAGAAATCATCCTATCAAAGGTCATGTCAAACTGAATTTAAGTATTAAATTCACAAATTTATTAATATTTTCTAAATTTTTTACTATTACAATAAATAGTGCGTATGTGTTATAATTATATAAATACCCATTGAAGTTGTACTCAAATCTTGAATATTTGATTCCGAAGTATCACTCCTATTGTACTGTAAGTGGAAACCTATTTCTCGAACTTCAGTTTCTTCCTGAGCCTGCTGTCTTCGTAGAGCAACCTATAATATTTCAAACTTTTACTTACGTAAAACAGTTATTTAAGAAAATAAAATAATAACACGGAATTATCATAATTTGTGTATACATGTTTCATTTTAATCCAACCACGCGCATAACCTAGTAAAAAATAACTTTATCACAAAATGACCTCTAGAAAAGTTTTAGGGGACTGAGTGGGCTATCAAATGCTATCATCAACTTTGAACCTTAATTCGATTTTCAAAGTCATCTGAAGGTCAAAGTGCTTTTTTTAATAGGAACCCCTATTTTTGACCCCGGAATCATGTAGAGCGGGAAAATTACATCCAAAATGATATTTCAAGTTTATATTTATGACCTGAGGTCAAATGCTCAAAAAATCTCCTAATGACTAGTTTTTTTAATTTTTTGGTAGAATAAATATTGTAAAGATACCTTTTTAATGTAATTGTGTAAAATGCCATGCTTTCTTTGAAGCCATTTTGCAAGGTCATTTGGAAGTCACAGTGCTTGTTGTAACAAAAAATTTTTTTTATCAAGGAAAATGGAAAAATATACAATTTGAATATGACAATGTCACCGACCCTGTTATCGATTTTCAAGGTCATTTGAAGGTCAAATTTTTATTCTACCATGAGCATTACCCAGGAACAACAACGTGGACGTAATAGGATTGTGTTCCCTTTGGGGTGCTTAATTAGAAAGAGTCTCCTTGCCTCTCACTTTTCTTCAGAATTCAACGTAGGTTTTCAAACATACCATAATTTTCTTGAATACATAATTGTATTCGATGCTTAAATTGTTCTACTGTTCTGAGTAATACAGCCCTTGGGATGTTTTCACAAGCGGTTCGAATTCTTTGCATCATGTCTTCTTTTGTTGTTGGTTCGTGTTCATAAATAATATCATTTAAATATGCCTACAAATAAAAATCAGGTGATGTTAAATCTAGAGATCTTGGTGGCCATCGAAAACTAAAATCTCCATGCTCGGTGCGTCCAATCTACCTGTCATGATAATATTAATTGAGATATTGTCTAATTATTCGAGAGTAGTGTACAGGAGCTCCATCTAATTAAATCCACATTTTTCATCTTATGTACCAATCTACTTCTTCGAGAAGTACTGGAAGATGATTTCTCAGAAACTGTAAAAAATTATGCATATTTGTATTTCCATCGAAAAAGTACGGGCCTATAAGGTATCCATTAACAATTCCACACCATACATTAAGGTTCCATCGATTTTGATTATCTATCTGCGTGTGCCAATGCGGATTAACATCGACCCAATAATGACAATTGTGTCGATTAAGCTGTCCATTGCTTTGAAAGTTTGCGTCGTCTGAAAACATTACGTATCGAAAAAAGTTTGGATCATTGGCAATGATTTGTCGTGCCCATTGGCAAAACTGTAGACGTAATCTCATATCAGCAGGTATGATGGCTTGAGTCAAAGTGATATGATATGAATGATAACGATGATTTCTTAGTATTCTCCAAACAGTAGCCATTGTTATACCTGTTTGCCTTTAAATGTCACGGGTATTGATGTTACAATTTAAATGAACCATTGCCAGAACCACTACTATACGAATATCTTCTTCATTGTAATTACGACGTTCTCTAAATCGTGCTAGTTGCTCTTATTGCTGTATGACTCGGATGTCTTCTGTAGCGATATTGATTTCGATAAAGAGCAGCGGTTTGTCGGTAATAACGCCTACATTCACCAAGAACCAATATAATTTATCCCTTTCAGCCGCTGGGTAATTAGCCATTAATTAGTTTTACTATTCAATAAGTAGTGCTATATTAAATATAAACTGTATGTAACAATAAGCAGGGGACAAAGTCAATATGAAAAATTATTTTTAACTGAAAAAATTATCTACTTCAATAATAAATAGGGGACAAATTCATAATGGAGAATCAGAGGATTAATTAATTTAATTAATAAATTGTACAGACATCGGTATGACAAAAATACAGTTTTTTGATCATTTTACCTTTAATTGACCTTCTCAGGTCAGAAATATAAACTTAAAATATCATTTTGGATGTAATTTTTCTCGCTCTACACGATTCCGGGGTCAAAAATAGAGGTTCGCATTAAAAAAGCACTTTGTTCTTCAGATGACTTTGAAAGACGTATTAAGGGTCAAAGTTGATGATAGCATTTGATAGCCCACTCAGTCCCCTACAACTTTTCTACAGGTCATTTTGTGATAAAGTTATTTTTTACTAGGTTATGCGCGTGGTCGGATTAAAATGAAAAACCCTGTATACACAAATTATGATAATTTGGCATTGTTATTTTAATTATTAGTATTTCAAACACTCAAGACATAGAACAAATAAAAAATATAAATATTTATCATTGAAAATTTTCGTCTATATTGTTACATCCTAATGAATAGAATACATGATATAGAGTTAAGAACACTAAGGGATTAATTTATTAAGTTTGGAGTGGTACATCAGGAAGACTCCATATCATTATCGGATATGTATGTAAACAGTATTCTTCATTATGAGCATCAATATCTTCTCATTAACTAAGAATATTTCATAATTATATGAAGGAATGGAAAAGTCTAAATGTTCAATAAGGTTCTCGATCCATATTACCTGTACTAGGTGGAATGTTGTGGGATATGACACTATTTGATTTATATAAACAGAGTTTAGAAGGGATAAAGAGTAACACGACTGATGATGACTGTTAGCGATGCTTAGGCTTCATTCAAATAAGTCACTCAAAGTGTAAGTCTTTACGGATGATTATCTTTACTAAGAGAAAGAAAGTTGTGAATGCGTAATCAGTACAAACGAAATTAAAAAATGTCCTTTTATACGAGGTGTGTTTAAAAAGTAAGGTGACTTCGTATTTTTAAGAAAAAATATTTATTTATTTATCAATATTTATGCTGCCCCCTTCAAAGTAATTTCCCTCAGATACAATACACTTATGCCAACGGTTTTTCCAATCCTCAAAGCACTTCTCATAAGCACTTTTCGGTATAGCCTTGAGCTCTTCCAGCGATGCAGTTTTTATCTCTTCAATCGTTGCAAATCTCCGTCCTTTCATAGGTCTCTTCAGTTTTGGGAACAAGAAAAAGTCACATGGGGCCAAATCCGGTGAATATGGTGGCTGAGGCATGATTGTGGTGTTGTTGTTGGCCAAAAAATCTCTCACAAGGAAAGATGAGTCAGCAGGGGCATTATCGTGATGCAAAAGCCATGAATTGTTTTTCCACAATTCTGGGCGTTTTCTTCGTATTGCTTCTCGCAAACGGCGCATAACTTCAAGATAATACTGTTTATTGACCGTACGTCCATATGGTAAGAACTCCTGATGCACCACGCCATCGTAATCGAAGAAAACAGTGAGCAAAACTTTGACATTTGATCGAACTTGGCGTGCTTTTTTCGGTCTTGGCTCATCTGGGCTCTTCCATTGGGACGATTGGACTTTGGTTTCAATATCATAACCATATACCCATGATTCGTCACCAGTTATGACCCTTTTGAGTAAATCTGGGTCGTCGTTGACGTCATTCAACAGTTCTTGAGCGATGCTCATGGGACGGTTCTTTTGGTCAAAATTTAGCAATTTCGGAATAAACTTCGCTGACACACGTCTGATGCCCAAAACGTTAGAAAAAATTCCATGGCACAAGCCAAGCGATATACCAACATCCTCAGCAACTTCTCTGATAGTGATTCGACGATTTTCCAGAACAATTTTCTTTACTGCTTGAACGTTTTCATCAGTTGTTGATGTGCTTGGGCGTCCAGAGCGAGGCTCGTCATTAGCATCTTCCCGGCCATCTTGGAAGAGTTTGTACCACTTGTAAACATTTTTTTTTACTCAGAACAGTTTCACCGTATGCCACCGTCAACATTTCAAGTATTTCGGAGCACTTTATTTTATTTTTTACACAAAATTTGATGCAAATCCTTTGATCCATATTTTTCGATAGCAAGATAGCCGAGCACGCAAATACTTATAACCTTTACGCCTCTCACAACCAAACAAAAAATGCTATACACTTGAAACTTGGTACAGATGTTCAGGAAGAGTGTACCACCATAACAAAATAAAAAAATCGACAATCGAAAGTACGTTGCCTGTGAAATTTGAAAAGTCATCTTACATTTTAAACACACCTCGTACATTTTGACGATTTGATACATACTCTATTGGTATTTTGGCCCTATTACGAATACCTCAGTTTCAAGTTCCTTTAAAGCTCATACAAAACTTAAAAGTAGATAATAGCAACTGGCATATCCTCATGTATTTTGATGCGTTGAAACGAAATCTAACTTTTGTTAGACTTTATTACCTTAGGTTGTAGGTCATCTAGAAATCATTATCGTTATGTACGCTGAATACTTGATTGCGGTCATGGGTTCTAATATAGCGGGATGTTTATTAAAAGTGATCATTTAAAAAAGGAATATATATATATATGTGCAAGATAATCAAACAGTAAATGTTTATTATGGGATAATTCTATAAATGGTACATACAGTGCCGCTTACGCACTTTTACCCCCCTCCGACCAAAATTGTTGAAACATTAAAGTTTTTCCTGTTCCGTAGAAAGTAACGTACAGAGACCAGCGGCAGCTCATTTGAAAGCTCTTGGAAAGAGCTTTCAAATGATATGCATCACAACTACAATCAAATGTTTTTTCTAATATTTTCAAACGATTTTTCATCGATAGAAATTCCGAATTTGTTAGTACTTTTTTGATCTCGTGCCATTTCGGGGGAAAACATCGTAGGAAAATTTTGAGCACAGCATTTTCTTTGTCTTTCCAAACCCTATCTAAATCACACATTCAAAAATTATTTACTTCAAACATGACCCGCGCTTAAGCATTTTTCTCGAAAATTGACCTTCTTTTTCAAATTATCATACCTCGGTAAAATCGAATCGTAGAAAAAAGTTTGTATGAAAGAAAATGTTCCTTTTTCAATGTAGAATACTGTGAAATTTTCTCAAATTT